AGATTGACCGTCAAGTGTAACTAACAGGCCACTGGGCTCCGCACCCACCACGGCAGCAGACATCGCTAATCGAGCACAGACTGACCTTCCCATCCCTGCCGTCGGGACTGGTACCAAAGATGAAATCTGCTGCTATTCTCAGCGTCACCCTTGCCAGTCCCTGTTCCCTGGGTCCTGCTCCCGAGGTTGACAACCTAGGGCCACATCACTGCCACAATAGCCCACATGCTACCGGGACTGGTCCTCCCGTATGCTAAGATGTCCTGTGGCCCCAACCCTCTGGGGGACCCCATGGTGAGGGAGACAGGGCAAGATCTGAGACCCAACCCTGGCTGGATTCTGGTGCACCGGACACAAAATCAGGAATTCAGAGCAGACCACAGCCGCTGTGTGTCCTCAGACAAGCCCTCACCCTCTGAGTCCCTGCCACCCCCTCCCCAGAGAGGGGACAGGGCTCTTCACAGTCCGAGTCTACGCCCGGATGACTCGCACCCAAAGAAAGGAGGGGTGGCCCCGCTTAGGGGCTGCAACAGTCGGGGACACTGTCCCTCAGCATCGAGGGACCATGTGGCCCAGGGCCCAGCTCAGAGTGGAGTCTCCTGCACAGGGGAGTGGGAAGGTCCCCAGCAGGGAATTCTCCGGCTCCAGCTCGGGAGCCGGGAGCACGCGGACCCGTAATGGCGTCCGAGTGGCCATTAGCCGGGAAAGGATGTCCTGTGGAATCACAAACAACGGTAACCATGGAGAATTTACCTAGCCCTCCTCGGCAGCTGCCCGCCGCCTGCTCCACGCCCAGCCGGGGAACAGCTCCCCCCTGCAGAGCCAACGGCCTCTCTCACGCGCACACACAGCGGGCTCTGCAGACTTGGCCCCGGGGAGGGACAGCTGGTGCCAGGCTGGCCAAAGCCACCAGCTGCTCATCTGGTGTGGGCAAGGGGAGGGGCAGGGAGGAAGGAAGTTCAGGAGCTCAGGCTGCTGGAGCTGGAAGGGGCCCTCGAGAACCCTGGAGCTTCTTGCTGGAGAGAGAAACAGCCCAGAGAGGGTGGGCACGGCCCCAGGCCACACAGCACAGAAGAGGCTAACACCCCAATGCCTGTCCCTCTGTCCTGGAGCTGGGGACAGCTCTGTCCTCTCAAGTCTCAGGCCTGCCCTGGATTTACCCACCAGGGCCCAGGATTATAGGATGCCCGGTCAGGAAACATGGAGACTGCCACCTCCACCTCCAAGCAGGCAACTGGGCACATCCCTGGGCAGCGCTGAGTCTCCGAGTGGGGATTATAATGCACTGGGGGACGTGCCGCTCAGCATGGGGACTCACCGCCAGCCGTGTGCCCTCCTCCCAGAGCACAGGAATTGGGTCAGGGTGGTTGCCCCTGAGCTCTCCTCACCCTGTCAGCCAAACCCCAATTTCCTGAACCTTCCAATGTGGGTACTGAGTGTGGTCGGGGTAGCTCAGGCTTTGCAGCCCCAGAGGTGGGTTCCCATCCCGACCCTACAAGTTATGACACTCCCCTGGAAAGCCAGGACGCTAAATGGGAGGCGGGGGCTGGGCATGGATCATCCCACAGCTCTTCGAGGCACCCAGAAGATGCCAGCTCCCTGGCAGAGGTGGGCTGGGACCCCCCCCACACACATCCTCCCACCCTCCTGTTTCTCCTGCTCTTCTCACTGGGTTCCTGCCTCCCCACCCGCCTTCTCTCCTACAGGCAAGGGCCTGGCCCTGGAGCCAGTCCAGCTGTGCCACACCTGGCTGTGCCACACCTGGCTGTGCCACCTTAGACCAGCCCTTCCCTCCCTGGGCCTCGGTTTCTCCATCTGTTTGAGGCAGTGGCTCCCAACAGAACATCGTAAGGCTCTAGGTTAGGTCTTGGGGGACAAGGAAAGGGGAGGGGGAATGAAAAATTGCCCGGTTCCGGTCGGATTTAGGGGAGAGTCAGGTGACAGCGCAGGGCAGGGGACCCCCATTGTGTACTCCGTGCAGCGCGGAGGGGGGTGCCGGTGGCCCTGGAGAGTTGGCCAAGGGCCCCGAGCCGCACTCATGCCCACTGCTTCCTGCAGGCCCGGCAGGCCGGGCGTGAGCATCGCAGACAATGCGCGCGGGCGACGCGCGGGGACCGGGCGGCGAGGCCGCAGCTCCCGGGGCCAGGC